TGAAATTGAAGCTAATACAGTAGGTTAAAGACCATCTGAAGACACCAATTTTCAAGCCTTGCCTCAGATGCTTAAATGGGTCTGTGTCTAGACTTTGACTGGGCCATTTTAAACAATGAATTTAGTCTAAGCAGAACTGTTTCATTGTACTGCCGTCAGGCAAAAAACTTGCAGATTTGAATCTGAGTTTGTTAAACATGCTTCGTGAAACAGACCCCAGGTCTATTACAGCTGATAAAATGCATCTCCATAGCATACTAAACCTGTTGAGACTGTATTGCACATATAGGGTATTGCACTTGGAACAAAAAGTTCAGCTTTTGTCTCATCTGACTGATGCACATTCTTCTGCAGGTTTACTGCCCCTCCACAGGAATGTGGCAATTTTGATTAAGAATCCCTATGTCTTTCGTTTAACAACCTTTTTTTGCCCACTCTTCCACGAATGCCAAAGTTGAGCACAGAATATCCCACCTGAGCTGTGGATCTCTGCAGCTCCTCCCAAATTACCAAAGTTGTCTTAACTGCTTCTTTGGTTTTTGTTGCATTTTATTTTATTTAAAATAAATAAACATGGGGATAATTGGACATCCATGCTTGTGATTTTTTTTTTTTTTAGTTATAAAGGAGGATGAGAGTCATGAATCTTTTCTTCTTTAACATCACTTGGAGTTAGTATGAATAGATTTGCAAAGTACTTTATCTCAAACACAGACTGGAGCTCTGTTAAAAAGAAGAAAAAAAATATTTTAATTCAAGTTGGTTTCTCTTCACAATTTTACTTTTATTATTATAAGTTTTATTAACGGAGGGTGTTCAAGGTGGCTCCTACTTTGTAAACAATGACATTTCAGCTCATTATCACACTTTTCACTATAGTTTTCACATTAAGAATTATTTTAAATCAGTTGTTTATTTGTATGATTTATTTCTTTTGAACTTATACAGCAATTTAGTAAGTAGGTACTCATCAACAATTTCACCTTACGGTAGCCAAATATGTTCATAAGTTGTTAGCCCTGGCTTCAGTAAAATACGGATGGGGAAACATAAACTTTTTTCTATGCATATGAGGGGGATGTTTTCTTCTGGTGGCGATCCAATCCAAGTGAAGAGATTCATTGTTTCCAACAGCTTTTGTTCGTGTTGCTTAAGTGACATAGTAATGGCTTCAAGTGCAGGGCCAGGACCAGTAGCGCTGGTAGCATCCTGATCAGCAGCTTTCTGTCCTTTAGATGGCATTTTTGGGCTGCTTTATCTTAGAGGGACACATGGCTGTCAGGTACAGCTTATGAAAAATAAGAGCACGTTTAGGGCATGCATACTCTATTTAACTGCCAACCCGAAACCCATGGCAAAAATAAATTGTAACACAATTATTACACAAAAAAACCCTGGTGCATCATTGCAGAAATCAGATATAAAAGCTGGACTTTAACACTGATCTGATGGATCTGTTGTCTCTCAGGTGGTGACTTTGGCAGTGTACAGTTTCTTCCTGGTGTGTCTGATCGGCCGTCAGTTCCTGGACCCGAGTCAGGGCTACCCGGGTCATGACCTGGACCTCTATGTGCCCACATTCACACTCCTGCAGTTCTTCTTTTACGCAGGGTGGCTCAAGGTCGTTATGAGGCTCCCTAGAGGTTTGCATTGTTTTGATGCGAGCAGAAAGCCTAGAACTTGATGTAAAAATATATATATATATTTTTTGCAGGTTGCGGAGCAGCTGATCAACCCTTTTGGAGAAGATGATGATGATTTTGAGACCAACTGGTTGATCGACAGAAACTTTCAGGTTTTCTATAACTAAATTTTCTTTAAAGATTTTCATATTGTCTAAACAAGATTTTTTGGCTAGCGACTTACACGTTTATGCTCCTTTAACTTTCCCACAATAATAATGTATTTATTCAGATTTATGGTAGAATGACTTTCAAGTAGTTTTACAATTAAACATCTATAAATCTATATTTAATCTCCCTGAAGTCAATACTAGATCCACCTCTTGTTGCTGTTATTAAGCTGACCTTTCCTGGTGGGTTTTACATCCAAAAGCTAAAATATTTGCCTTTATTTGTAAGATAGCTCTTAATAAGTTTCTCTTAACATCACATTTTCAGTCTGCATATAGATCTCTCCATCAGCAACATCCCACAGCATGATACTGCCTCGGCCCTGTTTTAGCCTGTGGATGGTGTGCTCAATGTAATCTGCAGTATTACTTATTTAAAGGATGTCAACTTTGGCCAAAGATTATAGTCTCATCTGACCAGAGGGGCTTCTTACAGATAATTTTTGTGATGTTATAGTTTTATGATTGCATATGGCTTTCCTTTAATATTTGCTTTTCTTCTTGCCACTCTGCCATAAAAGCCATATTTGAGGAAAGGACAGCAATTATTTCTCCTGCTGACAGGTGCATAGTTAGCGTTACGTTTTGTGTGCAGGTTTCCATGATGGCTGTGGATGAGATGTACGGAGATCTGCCGGTGATGGAGCGAGACCGTTACTGGAACGACTCCAACCCCCGCCCCCCGTACACGGCGGCTACGCTTTTTGTCCTCCGCAAACCCTCCTTTCAGGGCTCCACCTTCGACATGGCGTGAGTCTCTCTGTGTCTCCTCATGGGGCAATGAGATCCTGCTTCTGAATCCCCTAACTGGTTGTTTAAAACAGAGAGATTTTTCTCTTTTTTTTAAGTTTGAGAGAAAGATGAAACCTTAGTTTAGATGAAGCTTGTGGATTCTGGTGATTTTCAGACATATTAAACAATCTATTACAGAGATAATCAGAATTTTCTTGACAGGATCCCAAAGGAGGAGATGCACTTTCAGCCATTGGAGGACATAGCTGAGAATCTGGAGGAATCCAGCAGCCGCCACCCCAACATGGCTCTCTTTAATCGACTTCTCAATGTGGCTCCGTCCCCATCTGGCTTCATGGGAGGAGCTCTGCGCCGCACCTCAGCTCAGCTCCAGCGGCTCTACCACTCACCCAGCACAGACAGGTGCTCCAGTGATGATGAAGAGGAGGATGAAGAGAAAAGCTGTAAAATAGGCAAAGGAGGATCACTGCCATCAGGGCTGGGCCAGGACCCCCAGAGCACCGTCTGCAGCTTCAGGGAGGAGAAGAGTACAAGGACTCCGCTGGTGGATGTTGAGTTTGGTGAGGATCAGGAAAGAGCAGGTGAAAGCAGGGATGTAACATCAATTAAAGGGGTTCAGAGGGCCGAAGAGGAACCAGAGAAGACTTCCAGAGCTCTGGGCTCATCGCTTGCTCCTCCACCTCGCTCCTCCAGAGATACATCAGCTCCTCCTGCCTCTGCCTTTACTTTCACCTCACGCCCCCTTTCAGCTTTCCTTTTTCCCTCTACTGCCCAGTCAGGTCTGGAACACTGCAGCTCACAGCCAGCAATCAGTCTTCCTAAGGCTACGTCCGGCATTCCTAAACCACCTTCCACTGGAAACCAAATGTCCCTCCTCGCTGTGCCGTCTTACGTCGAGCCTCAGCGTTTGCGCAGTGTGAGCGTGGGCTCTGAGTTCACAGCATCCTGAAGTCAGCAAGCTGGGATATTTACCAAAACCTTGGTTATCTGAGCCCACAGAGGTTTTATTCAATAGGTATAACAAATCACTGCTGTCGAACTTGCTGCTGGACCACATAGTTGGAGCTTAAATTAATTAGGTTATATCATAATAGATTCCTTGATTTCTTCCCCCCTAACACTAGTTTTTATGCTAATTTATAGTACCAACACTAAAATCTTCTATAATATCTCTAAAGGAACATTTTGTTAAATCCATTTGTTTGCTGTTTATGTACAACAAACTAATCTGTGGAAATTTGCTGCATATGGATGTAAAAAAAAAAAGCAAAAATTTGAAAATTTTGAAAAATAAAAACACATGTTTGTATTCAGCATTCTTTACACTGATGCAACAAAAATAAAAACTGTCCTCATAAGCCACATAATTAATAGGACCCACTGTTTAATTTAACCTCTGCATAAATATAATTGTTATATGAAGGCCTTAGAGTTTTTGTTAGATGGCTTTAGTGAACAAACAGCATTACGAAGACCAGGAGACACAGCTGACAGGTCAGGGAGAAAGTCTACGAGAAGTTTTACTATAGATATCATCCCAAGCTGTGAACGACTTGCAAAGCTCTGCCCATTTCTGGGGATGAACATGGAGATCTAGCAAGGAGACTGTATGGTAGCTTTGGAGGAGCTGCAAAGGACTGTTCAGAATCAGGTATCTGTCAACAGGAAAATTATTATAACTGATAATATCTTGAAGCAATGAGGAGGAAATCAGGCTAAAGAAAGCATTTGGAAGTTGTGTTTCACTATAACTATCACATAAAACACTAACAACAGGAATATTTCCCTGAATATATCTTTAGGAATCTCAAAACATCCATCCATCCATATTCTGACATGCTTAATCCCGAGTGGGGTCGTAAGGGGTGCTGGTGCCTTTCTCCAGCTGTCAATGGGCAAGAAACGAGGTACACCCTGGACAGGTCGCCAGTTCTTGCAGAAAGACCCTGGCCCAGGAATCGAACCCAGAACCTTCTTGCTGCAAGGCAGCAGTGTTACCCACTGCAACACTGTGCAGCCCCCCCACCCCAAACAATTCCACTGAAAATATTTCAAAAATGACGATGAAATAAATCTTTCAATATAGTGATGTTTTACTGCTGGCAGTGGGTAGCACTGTTGCCTTTCAGCAAGAAGGTTGTGGGTTTGATTCCCGGTCTGGGGTCTTTCTGCATGATGTTTGCATGTTCTCTTTGTGCATGCATGGGTTTTCCACCATGGGAGAAGATGGATGGATGGATATTATAATGCACTACTTTGAAAACAAAGTCCAGTAAATTGCTTTTTTAAATTTTTTTTTATTTTACTATTTTGGAATAATAATGACCTGGATGACTGAGAATCTTCACCAGTATATATGTTGTACTGTCAACATTAAAAATGGGCATCACATGTATTTATTTCATTGCTTTTAAGATTTTAAAGAGCTGCAAGCTCTTTAAGATGATTTTTACATATGAAAATACTCTGTTTCAAAACCTACAGACATCTAATAGGATTCCCTTTACCAAGAGTCACCAGCAGGGGGAGATAACAGTCAACACAAAACAGGCCTGCAGTCCATATTTAATACAGAGAGCCTCTCCTGTTAATCAGAAGGCTGTTACTGGGGGTCCATGGTGACAGAGCTGGTCCTCCTGGCCTGGATGGAGCGCCTCTGCTTGGCCAGGAAAGACTGAGGGAGACCTGCAGCATCAGAGTCCTTCTGAGAAAGGCTTTGCTGCTGCAGATGCAAACAACAAATAACAAAATGGTCTGTTCCAAATTTTTGGTTAACCTAAAAGAGACAATTCACAGGTCTTACTTTACTGCTAATAGACTAGAGCACATCTCTTTACTCATATTGAAGGCCTGGCTTTGAGCCTTATCAGCTCTATGACTAAACAAGTTGTGTAATAAACCTGGAAAAAAAAGAGGGAAGACAACAGTGGTGTAAACCAAGACAATGAAGACTCGGTAGAACAAAACAGGATCTAGTAAAAGTCCCCAGAATATTTAGTGGCCATAAAGGGAGAACTGGGATTGTTCGATTACAAGTGGTAAAATAATAGTGAAGCAATGAAAATCACGACAACGCTGTAAAACAACCACTAAAGAAAGATTTAATATCAATACAATAATGTAACCCTCACACCCACATGTTTGATTCATAGAAACAAAACTGAGCAGATAGCATTAGACTCCCACAGACCTGTTCAGTTCTGTTCTCCCTAGTTCTATAAATAACACTGATTTAAAGCTCTATGTATTTTTTTCTGATCAATTTTGCCTCTCACCATGTTTTGCCACGCAGCTACGATCAGAATTTCCTCTTCATCCTGTCTGGATCTGATTATCTCATGCCGAGAGTCAAGTGGCTGCAACAGTTTGAAAATATATTTTAAAGCTGACATAGCGTCCTATTTTAGGTGATGTTGCATCAAAACAACTAACTCACCTCTGAGGCTGCAGGTTTCAGGATATCAGACTGACAAGCTTTATTATTGCTGCTCATTTTTCACTCAAATCCAAGCAGAGTTTGCCCCCCTTCCCCAAAAAACCCCCCAAAACACGCGTGACCGACCAGTTTGGACAGCAGCATCCCTTTGACCTGACCTGTTTGCAGATCAGCGCTGCTCCCGGCTGCATTTTTGCAGCAGAGTCCACTTTTTTTGTTGTGCCACTGATAGAGAACAATATGAAGAGGTGCTGCAGGCCCAAACGCCTCCTAATCACAGTCAAAGACACCATCCTGCTGACTCTGGCACATTCACTGTTGGGCAGTCAGTCACCAGGCAGGAGATTAGTGGGTAAGTTCCATGATACAATGCAATTATCTTGAAAGCAGATACTGCTAATTATATTCTTGTTTAAATGCCGGGCAGGGCAGCGTCTGTAGGCAGCAAATTCTGGAATTTTCTTATAAACAGATAACCAGTTATATATAAAATTATATCAAGACACTTTGTTTTTCTTTTTGTTAATGATTTTGTAGTTTTTTTTTGCATGTTAGAGACATTGCCTTTAACAAATGTAATTCAGAGGTTTTTAACTCTGGCATATTTATTTTAAGAGCATGAAATATTAACCTGAAGTGTACAAATTACATATTAAATATTCTACTGTGTCATATTTATTGAACAAAAATGCATCAAATGATATATCATGTTAATGGAAATGCATAGATTCTTAGTAAGAGGTTTTGATTTATTTCTACCTGTTTTTAGTTCTGATACAGTTATCCTCCTCCTGAAGGATGTTTTGGTAATAGTGAGTATCTGCCTGCTTATAGTGAACATATGGGATAAAATCACAGTTTTAAAACTGAGAGGAACATATATTAGGATAGATAAAGGATTTGCTGTAAGTGACATGAGTCAGTTTGCCACCTATTGTGGCATTGCGGTGCTATTTTCAGAATATCATACCAGTTTAATCCAACAGTGTGTTTGGATTTTAAGACCCTCTTCTTTTGGATCAGATATGTTTAAGGATTGCACAATGTTAACATTCTCTTGTTTGCAGCATGTCTTTCATAAAAAAGAAAATAATAATAAAGGATTAAGCAGTGTACTTTGTAATGAACCATGTGATGCAAAGTTGCTCTGATTAAAAAGCATAATTTGTCACTATTCCTTTAACCTTAAACTGGGAATTTGGAAATATTAGGAGAAACAAGATAGCATATCATCAGCCTCTATAGCTAAAACTTTACAGCACTTCTCAATGCTTCTTTTGTCTCCACATTTTAATCCCAATGTGTGAAATAGAGCAGCACCCTCCTCTCCATAAGGCCCAACATACATGTTTTATGTTTACACATCTTTTGCATTGCTGCCAACTTTAAAGTAAAACTTGGAGTGAGATTTTAAAATAGTTTGAACAGGAAACCCTTGTCAGGGCTAGATAGAAAGGCTCTGAGGATATCTGCAGCTATAGGTTGGGGGTTTTCAGAGGATTTAACTGAAACTAAGTGGCAAAATGTTGAATTTTTATATTGCAGTAAATGTCACTGTTATATGTTACTGAATAACAGTAGTGATCCGCGGTATGTGGAAGATTTTCACACAATATACAGTACTTTTTACACTAAAATACTTCCATTTACTGTGAACTAAGAATTTCACAGCTGTGATTATTAATAATTCTCTGCAGTTCAAGTAAAATAAATAATGGGAAACAGATTAGTTAATACCTGATTATTGGCACTAATACAGGAACCGAATCCCATGCAAACTACACTGTATGAATATCTGGTAATACGCTAATGATTAAAAATCTCATTTTCTTATTAGATTTTTACAATTGACAATTCAGACCTTCTAGGAGGCTGTAGATTCTATAAAAATCCACCACGACACAAAACAGCATTTCTGCGGTTGTTTCATTTTGGTAGATGTGATGGAACTTAAGTTTTTTAACATAACTAATGAACCAAAATATGGATAAATGAGTAAGATAAGTAATAATAAAATGAGAACATCCCTCTGGTTCCTCTTATATCATTCCTGGATAACTGAGTTGTTCTGCACATCCTCTCTGTATGTGGTTGATCTTTTCTTGGGTGGCTGACCTTTTTAAAAATAAAATGCGATGGTTCTTGTTCTTTTTTTGCAAACCTATGGGTTTGTGAGACATAGCTGAAAGCTTTAAAAATTTAGATTTTGGTTCCTTTAATTAGTCCAAGAAAACAATGGGAGATTATTCAACTAGACTGAGCAATAATTATTTAACTTGGAGCCAAACATGGACTAAAACTTGGACTAAATCATGTGGCTTAACTAGAGCTAAGAAAGAGTAAATTTCACTAAAAAACCTCTAGGTGTAGAGAAAACTAATTGTTTGAAGTGATCTTACACTCAATCTCCACATTGATGATTTATTTATTTATTTATGTATTTTATTCATATTTACTCAAGTGCTAGATTGCTTCAAATCTTCATTAATTTACAAAGTGAATTATCTTAGTCCAGATAAGATAAGATAAAATTCAATGACATAGCTCTTAATAACTGCTCAGAAATACCAATCTTTTTTTAATATCTGGCTCAGGTCCAGCTCCACTACAGTTAGCACAGGTTATAGTTGGGCTGCTGCAAAAATACTGACTGGAAATTAACCTGGCATGACTTCATATGCACTGAAAGAAATAATGCAACCGATTTTGGTATTTACTTAATCATATTTAGTTACTGCAACAGACTTGTTATATGTCCTACCCTGCTAACATGAAACAATTGTGTTAAAGTAACTAAATATGATTAGTAAGTAAATGCCAAAAATGGTTGCCTTATTTTTTTCAGTGTGTTAGCACTAAGGTTGTGTTATTTTTTTTTTTTTTATCAGCATGGTATTTTTCTATATAAATAAATGGAATGAGTTCAGTTTTAATGTCCGTCATTTTTTTGCGTGAAAAATTGGGAGTATGGAGTGAGAGTGTGTGAAGAGACTGAGATATGGGAGTCTCACGCCCAATGGGTGAGAGTTGACAGCCCTGCTTTTGTTAAACAACGTTTTTACTTTGTATTTATTTGAGTAAAAACAGGAAATTAATAGGCTAACGAATGTTTGCTTAATATATTCATTGAATTTAAGATCTTTCTAGCTCAGAAATCAACTCAAAGGTTTAAACCTGGGATGAAATTCAGTTTATTTGCTGTGATGCTTCTATAAGTTACTCTGCATGTCTTTTTTGCCTTGTATTTAGCAGCGTCAGTGACCCAGAAAGTCAGTGGTTCTCTTTTGACCGTCTTCAAAGACCTGCAGCCTCTGCTTACCAGGAAAGATTATACATCAGAGAGACCGTCCAGCTCCTTTATTTTGTCAAAACACTATGCTTTCTGTCTATCAGACTCAGTTTTGTTTTAACAAAGGTCAATCCATTCCAGTTTGAAAACTGGCTTCAGGGCAAATGAGTGTTTTGTCATTAAGTGTGAAAACACAAGTGTGGGGGAGGATTTCACAGAACTGTGTCTTTCTGTAGAACCAGGAGAACTGAGGTCAGCAGGAAGACTTACTGAAACTCTGCTCTACCATACGGCTCCTCATAAACCATCAGACCATTTTTCAACCACACGTATTTCGCACACTTGTATCTTTGCACGTTTCATCCAGCCAGGCTGCTTGTATTTATTTGCCGCCGTCTACTGTAAGTGAATTGATTTTATGTGGAAAGATTTATTTTCATTCTCGAAATGGAAAAAGGAAATGTGAATTGAACAAAACAACATAAAGGAGGGAAGAAAGGAAACTGTCACAGATAAGTTTCTTGGAATCTGAAACCTGAGAATGTTTACTTGTGATGAGAGATGCGGATCGCAGAAGCTACAAAAACACACGAGTGCAACAGATTCCTGTTAGCAGCTTGAACATCTGTTGTGAAAGCTTCCCTCCTACTGCTGCAGTTTCTGAGGTGCTGTCTCACAGACTGTAATTTCTGAACATTTCTGTCTCATCACCGTCAGCTTCCTCGCAGCAGCTCGTCCCACAGATCAAAACAGATGACTGTGACTGTGCAGGGAAGCCTGATAAATGTCCAAAAACCTGCAGAAGCCCAAACGATTTCATTGCACTTAGAGTAGTGACTTTTAGATGGCATATCATGTCCAGCGAGAAATATGCGTGGGTGTATGGTCTGAATCACTCTAATATGAAGAAAAACTGGAAATGAACACACCCAAAAAGTCAGTAATAATATTTTGTTTGTGTCATAGCTGGAGTATTGCACATTCCCACAAGCAAGTGAATGCAGCTGCTGTCACTGTTACGTAGATACATAAAACCTCGGAAACTGTACAAGTTATTTAAACTAGACCGAGTTAAACCTACTCCTAAGAAACCTCGTCTGAAACTTCATCAGCAAAAACCTGCGGTCTTTTGAAAAAGTATTGACATTTTTAAAAATGTCTTCTCCTTTGTCACTTCTTAAAGTTTTAGATCGTGAAACTAATTCTATTTAGATCAAGATAAACAAAATAGGAAGAAAATGAAAAATGTTATAAAAGAGAACAATAATTATCTAAATAAATCTGTCCTGAGGTGCCAAAGTCATACAGTGTTTTTTTTCCCAATTCCTTTAGAGGATCTCTGTAAAGTTGCCATGTTGAATGGATTCCCAGCTCAGGATCTGGTTGAGATCATTTCACATCAAGTCAGTCTAGACTTCTATAAGATCACTGGTGGTGGGCGAATAGATCAAACATGTCAGCAATATCAAAGCCAAATCGAGATCAGTATCAGTTCTGTCGCCTTGACTTGGCTTGCTTTTGAGTTTTTCTTGTTGGTGGGTTGCTAGTTTTAGCTGCGTCTGTCCGTTTCTGTCTGTCCTTGGGCAAGATTCACCAGCCTTCCCTACTGTTGGTGGTCACAAGGCCTAGTGGCACCAATGTATGACAACCTCTTCTCTGTCGGTGTGCCCCAAGGCAGCGGTGGCTAAAATGTAGCTTGCCAGCAACAGCGTTTGAAGGTGTTCATTAATGTAGTGTAAAGTGCTTCCCAATCCTTGGAATTGATAAAGTACCGGGTAACCTATAAATATTGCCCATTTCCTGTGTAGAAAAGCTGAAGACTGAAGTGTGTTTAGTCTTTTTATAAAACTTGGAGGAACTTGGGATTTTTGTAAAAAAGCTCCTGAGGCTACATGGAAAACTTGTTA